TTAAAATTGTTTCATGTTGCATTTTCACACTTTTTTTTCTTCTTCTTCTTCTTCTTTTCAGGAGAATACCAAGTTAATTGCACACCGCGCCGCTCAATGACCTCATCTCGAGGAATTTGAATGCGAGGCTACACGGCTGCCGTGTGATGGAATGTCTATTATCCCCAACTATCGACATCAAAGGATGATCGCGTCTGGAAACCTTGGGTACCCAAAAGTTCACTTATGATAAAGTCCTATTTGTTAAGCATACTTACCCTTGGGTAATTTTTCCAGTTGATATTGTCAATACTATAYTTGAGAGCATATGTGTAGACCCAGTTGTCCCAGTGCTCCATACCTTGTGTGGCCACCTTACCAATGAGTGTTGGTGTACCAAGGTCGATTGAAAAATATTGGTTTGCGTCTTGACTGACAGCGAACTGATGCTCGGCACACCAAGCTCCTAAGATGTTAAAATAATGCAGTAAGGGCATCAAGATTACGGCACATAACAATTATGGATTGTTTTTTTTAATAGCACGGAAGACCGGCATTATGTTTTTAATAATGTTAATAAAGTTTTGAGGATATTAGTTTTTTGATGTTAATAGTCTTCGTGAAAAAGAAAAAATAAGTCTTTTTTAGTTTGGACATAATTAATATTTTCCCATTTCAGACCACGTGTCATTCACTAGGGTACCAGTTCTTTGTCTAACAGTTGTGCGCGGGAAGACACATAAATAAGGATACAGCTCAAAAAAATATGTTATTCCCAAGAGAATGACACGTGGTCTGAAAGGAAAACAAAACATTATGTCCAAACTAAAAAATGTATATTAATGAACTTACAACTTACATTAGCTACCTCAYCCTCATTAGATTTTCAAACTAACCTGCATTCTGTGTGTTGTTTAWGATGCCGTTGTAAGGCGCATGTCGGAACTGAATGATCTTGTCACCAGTATCTTTGGAGTAAGTTGACGAGGCAGAAAGCTGATGAGGCGACAAGCTTATGGGTTCAAAACCATTGCCACATGCTGAAAAAAATAAGACAAAAAATCAGACACATACCGTTATTACATAGTCCATCTATGAAACAAACTGTGAGCCGCTCGTTATAATGCATAGTACAGTAATACATAATTAATCTGATAGTCCATATAATCAATTTAAGTAGTTTTTTCAATTTGACAGCAAAGCCTATGATACGGATTTTCAAGACTCTTGATAGTAAAAAACAAAAGGTGCCATTTGAGCTCTTAACGTACTTCTGAGATCTGGGTAGCCATAGGAAGCAGGCTGATTAGGTTTACAGCTGCTTGACGTAGCTGGCCATGGGGACTCTGCTTCTGGCTTGGGAACTGCCGGGTTATTCGTAGATGGTCGGGTTTTATTAGAGATTAACGATGTGAGGTTATATTTTGGTAGCATTGGAGAGGTATTGTTAACATCAGGTGTCGATGGGGTGTAGTTTGACGGCAAAGGGATTTGAGTCATTGTAGCATTTGGAGTTGACGGTTCAGGTGGCAAAGTCACATTTTGAGAAGATGGCGTTGATGATCCATTGGTCAATTGTGGATTAGTAGAGTTTGCATTTGGGTTTTTTGGAAAAAGAGCAGAGGAATTGCCAGATGATGATGGGTTAGTTGCATTAGGCATTAATGATGAAGAAGGGAGGGTTGAATTTGAAGACGACGAGGCCGAGGGTGCCGTGGTAATTCCGGGATTAGAAGATCCATGTCCTGATGGATGTAAAAGAACGTGACAGCATATTAACTATGTGCTATGGCTAATCATAATTTCCTATAATTATATATATTTATATACGTAGGGGGGAGGGGTATGGGGAGGGGTAGGTCTCACTTATGTTAATGAGTGTGCCAAATGAACCATCCTTTAATCGCTCAGCGTTATTTTTTATATTCTTCGATTGCACGTTACGTCATCGCGGCCATGTTGGTGCCATTGAACAAAAGATTTCTCATTAGCATCATTGTTAACGGCACCACAATGGCCGCCATGTTTTTTGTCTTTTGACTCTCTTGGGATTGCTTGCAACCCGTCAATTGGTGAAATAATGCAGAGATTTATTGACAGATACCTACTACAGCTTTGTCTGACCACAATTCTAGAAAGATGTATTTATCCAAACTTTTATTGTACGAGTTTTAGAATACCTTAATTATTAAGATAATGAGCCTTACTGCGCGCATTGGGGAGGTTAAGCTCGTACACCGTGACTAATACTTGTAATTCAACATACATACATATATTTCATATATGAGTTTACATAATCATAGTTAATACTTACCATGACGTCGTCATGCAGTAGATTAGGTCAGTGGTTAATAGGTTAGATCGATCGGTTATGAGATTAGCACAGAATGATAAAAAGAACTCATTAGCAAGATGTTATGCATTATTAGACATTATTACCGTGCGAATTGCAAAAGTATGACGATAATAATAGATTCGCATACTTTTATGCACTGGTACGTTAAACTGACAAATTGCCAAGGGAAGCCACGTAAGGCGTGTATTATTTGAAGATTAAAGCTCGTTCGCCATCAAAACGCGTGCATATTAGTATGCAAATGCATAAATATGATCATGCTTTTGCGCTTCACACTGTTAACACTAAACTACATTAATAATTCATTGCAATTTGGTTATCAAATCGATTGTTACTATATTCCTTTTTCAGTAGCTTCATTACTTACATTATTTTTACAAGAATAAAAGCAGTTTTTTGTCACTGTAGATAAGAAGTAGGATATCTTTTTTTTTCTTTTTTTCTTTCCTTTTTCTTGCATGAATTGATTCAGTAATCATTTATTTAAAGTGTGATTTATTGTATCGTTCTTCCTTCAAGTTAATAAATATTCAGTAACAAATATATATATATATAACGATATATATCATAATAAATGTCAATAAATATCCCTTACAAATCATTAACAGTATTTATCAAGTTACCCATATTAATTCAACAAATAAAAATGATGGAATAAAACTTATATAACTATTAAGAAGTATTAATAAAATAAATTTTGTAATTGTTTCTGCCCGAATACTATATTTTTCAAAACCGTTAAAGAAAATGGCGATTATGTCAAATTATATCTGTTCTGCACATTCCCTAATGTCCAGTTTTAAATAATAATAATGATGGCAGTTGCCAAAGTCATTGTCATTGTCGTGATTTCGTGTGTCAGTAAGCTATACCTGGGCAGGGTTGGACGCTACATTCTCCAGTTTCAACAGTGCTTTCTGTACAAGGTAATCCACCGTTATTAGGCTTTGGGTTGTTGCAAGTACGCATGCGCACTCTTGTTCCAGTTCCACACGTGACGCTGCAGGTAGACCAGGCTGACCAGGCTGACATACCGCCATTAACTAATAGAAGAAGAAAATTATTTGTTAGACAGTGAGATATACTTATACTTACTTATTCCATTAAAGAATGCTGCAGTTTGTAATAAATCGAGAAGCACAACACAGCACAGCGGCAACGCCAATCCAACGAAGCTAATCTACCAACGCTAAGAAGAGCAGAGCAGAGCATAGGAAAGCATTTGGGAGAAGGCACGCAAAGTAACGAATCGTATGGACAAGCTTTGCAAAAAAGACAAAGTTAATAAAGGATTAACACTCACCGATACAGGTTTTCTTGGCAACTTCAGCTGGTTTAGTAGAAAGCAGATCATCAAAAGTAGTACTTTCAAAGATGTGGTCAAGTGGAGGATTACTGGTCAGGATATTGAGCTCTGCCTTGAAGGCCGTACTTTCCGCTGCTGGAAGACCCTCTGAAACAGAAACTGCATATACAGCAACATGAGCAGCATGCAGCGCAGCTGATGGCTCTTTAATTAAGTCTGTTGCATTGATGCTCTGTCCTTTGGAAACAAATAGATCCGTGGACCGACCACCGATGACAAATATGGCAACTCGACTTGCTTTTCGCAGAGGAGATGTATTGAATACCTCGGCTGCTTTAGTGATGGCTAGGTCGGTACGTGTGGATCCTGGCTTGTAATAGATACTTCCAATAGCATCATCCAAGGTTGTGTTGTCGTGGAACGACCTTAAAACGATAGGAACCTCTGGGATAGAGTGATATTGGATGACACCAAAACGTGTGTATTTGACGTCAAATTTTGAGGCAACTTTCTTCGTGAAGTTTAATATCTTCTCCCAGTTAGCTGCACCGACGCTTTCGGAGCTGTCGAGCACGAATAAAAGGTCCATTGGATTCTTACAAGGATCTGAAAAAAAGAAATCAAAAAATGAAGTGCTGTAATTTCTGTTTTACGATGCATAGAACTGGCAATACTAACCTTTTCCAGCAGCATCAGCAGAAGGTGCAGCACGTCTAAATTTTCTTGAAAATTCATCTGGGATTCATAACGAAAACATAATAATAATAAGCAAATCAGCCAAAACATTTTTTTTCAAAACAGCAACGATTTGACATGTTAACAAAATATAGGATAAGGTCAAAAATTAAAAATTTTACGCAAAGTGCCATCATTGGCCAAATTTAACCAAGATTCATCATTAATATTAATATATTTATAGCTAGGAGTTCTGGTGCGTGTCTCATTAGTTTCCTTTGAATGAAATTTTGCTATCGTACAAAGAAAATATATGCACGTGTTATTTTAAGGAATATTATCTTTTTTTTAAAAAAAAAACAACAACAACATACAAACAGACAAACAAACAACAACAGACTACTAAATTGAATTTTTTTCTTCCATTTTTTTACCGAGCTTTCGCACTACATTAGTGCCTTATCAAGTCTAAACAAAACTAATGTCTAGCAATGTATGGTATAATGTAGATGCCCTTAAGCTAAAAAATCTTGTGGGCATCGGCTTATTAATCATTTTCGTTATATTATTATATAACATATATAATGCAAAACTGAAAGCTTAGTTTTCAAACCTCAAGTAGTTCGTTTCAAGGAAAAAAAATATGATTTTGATTGCTTAATGTCACTTGTACAGTGTTACTAAAGCATGTGGCTTTTGATATCTCTTTACTATAATTTATATTTTTTAGATAACCTCCAAAATGTTATCAACATTAAACCAAACTTTCAGAACTTTTAAAGATTGTCCAGTTAAATTGGCTTAATGTTCTTTTATTTCTGGGCATTATGGTCGTTGGTAAATGTGACATTTGGTTCACATCGTTGAGTAGTCGATGTAGTAAATTTTTAACATTTCACCTGTAGCCAGGCACACACGACATTACATATTTGTATTTTAAGATCCCTCTGTCTTAGTTAATTATCTTGTGCACGCTATATTTCGGACTTTGCTTGTTGTTATTTGGCTTAATATGTGACAAAAACTACCAACATTCTATATCATGATTAGTCTACTTTCAGAAACGGTACTTTGTACTCCAGATAGCTGTCAAAATTAAACGCTTAGAACTAATTTACCATGTACTAACTTCTTTTTCGCTCTAATTTATTTGACAAAATGTGTACACTTTCTTCAAACCACCACTGAAAGCGCCTATCTTACTTAAGCTTTCTTAAAGTAAAAAAAATCACCTACAGATTATGAATATACGATTGATTTTTAAGGGATAGCATTTCTCTGGCATTTCAGTATACAATTTCGAATTACTTAAATGACAATTAACAAACAACAAATATTAATTGCATTTCTTACCTCGTATGTTATGAGAATTGGAGAAACATCCGAATATTAAAGAAGATAGGACTAGAATCTGAAGAACTCTTGTCAGCGTCATTTTCTACAAACTATATTTCGCTATTTTTTCGTCCTTCCACTAGAAACTAGTGGGCTTGACCTCTCTTGATCCGTAGGAGCTTGAATCATCGATTAAGCGTAAACAATGACATAGACTACTTTATTATTCACGTCAAGACTTTTGACACTAGCTTCCTACAGCAATTGGTGCATTCACATTGAAAATACTCCCCGAGACACGTTGCGACGAACTTTAGCATAAGCATCTTTTTTACAACGTTTTATTTTATTGATAAAAAAGTTGTTAAAGCAAAGGGTTGTTTCCTAAATTGACTTCATTTTTAGGATTCAATTTTTTTTCTAGGGATGTTTTAGATTTTACCTGTCAGTACCTGTAAATTGTGAAGCATATTTATAAACAATGCGACAAATTGGGTCTAACAATGAGAACGCACTGATCCGTGATGTTCACTATAAATTTTTCCTTTCATTTTAAGATAGAAATATAATTCGATTATATAAGGCCAATTGTCTAGTGTGGTACTTTCACTTGCCCTCATGAATACTTTCTTGTTTTATATTTTCAAAAATGTGGCTCTTAAATTAACTTAAACTTATATCAACATGACGATCCCATGTCGGCAGGAGGTCTCAAGTTCTAGTTTTCATTTCTCAGCAATAATTAGCGCGTTTTTTAAAGGCTATGGGCTTTGGATTTAAGATTAATTCGATTCCGCTTAATACTTCCAAAATTCAGCTAACATAAATGCCATGTCTACGGTAACGGGTTTCAGTCAATTCTAGTATTAGGGTACAAAGGTGTGAAAGTAGCTTGGGTCATACGATCAGCTTCAAATTTCCAAAGTTCAACGAAGAGTAAAATCCACCTGCTGAAAGGTTATTGGTTGAGCAATTTTGCCAGTAGAGAGATCATGAGACCGTAGATACGGGATTCTGATTGGTCATCGAAAAGGTAGTTTTTGGCTTTTTTTTAATTTTATTTGGTCATGTCAACTCCTTTATCTTCAGTGACAGTGGCTGTGTCATGATCATTTGTGTTTTATAACTTAGCCTAACCTCGCATTTTTTCGTCTCCAGCGTGGTATATATATATATATAAATCAGTTTTCATTAAAGGAAATCAGAACGCATTTTTTAGTGCTTCCAGGTGTTGTGTGTGTGCCATGTGTGCATGTAATATAATTATGTTTATAGTATGCATGAGTGGTAGCCTTTATAGAGAGTGGGGAGGTGTGAGGATGAGAAATTGAGAGTATGTATGTGGTCAACCGTTTCTTTTTTTTCTTTTAATTTTACTTCTTCTTAACTTTCGTACGATATGCCATAGTTTCGCTTTTTTGTTCGAACAGCAACTTGATCATTTTAAATGCTCATCATTACCAGCCGTGCACATCAACTGGATATCTTATCCTGGAGTCAGATCATCGCTGCAAAATAAGTGTATTCATTCATTTATACATTCATATGTTAATTTGTTTCATACAATCTCACTTTGTTATTTGATTTATTCTTGACTACAGCAAGTGCAATTGACAAAGCAAAAGTACTTACCATGTATCTAGGAAGATGTTGAACCAGATTCAACAGGAGAAGCAACGATTGGAGGTGTGTGGGTTGCATCTACCATTTGAGATGTAGATTGAATAGAAAAAGCAGACGAAGTAGATTCACTTGCTGCAGCAGTCTCTGTCGATGATGCTGGCTGGCTCGATGGTGTAGTTGCAGAAGTCGACTCTTTCGAGGTGACTTGGCTGGAAGGTGTGGATGATAATGCTGCACTGACTGTAGAAGTATCTGTAGTAGACGTAATTCCACTTGAAGGTGAGGAGGGCGACGATGATTCGACCGCAGTAGCAGTTCCAGCTGATGTGGCTTCCAGGCTCGATGGCGTAGTTGATAAAGCTGCACTGGCTGTAGAAGTCTCTGTGGTAGACGTAGTAAGTTCATTAGAAGACGAAGATAAAGGCGACAAGGACTCGCCGACTATAGCAGACGCTGACGAGGTGACCGGGCTCGAAGGTGTGGGTGACAATGATGCGCTGCCTGTAGAAGTATCTATAGCAGACATATGCTCAATAGAAGATGTTGTGGGCGACATGGGTGTTTCAGCTGTTGAGGGTGATCCCTTGATTGATGGTTTGGTTGATAAGTTAATGCTGGATTCAACAGGTTTTATAGCTGGCGCAGTTTGGCTGGATGAAGAAAGCGATAATGATTCGCCAGCAGTGGCAATGGCTGTACCAGAGAAAGCTGCTTGACTTGGTGACGTAGAAGAAAAGGATACGGTTTCTGTGGGAGTTATTTTAACCAGAGTAAGTTGGTTGACTGGCATAGGTGTCAAGGAGTTAACAGCAGTAGGCATCGATGTAAACGAAGAAGCTGTAGGAGCGCTGGGTGAGAATGGCAGTGATTCGCTTGCTCTAGCCTGCCCTACAAAAAGGGGTACTTGACTTGGTGAAACAGTCAATGTCGACTTGCTAGTTTCAATAGCCTCAGTGTATGAAATCAGATGAACTGGAGGTGTAGGCAACAGGGACTCACCAGCTGTTACTTTAACCATGACGATGGTAGTTGTCGTCACTGTTATGGTTGACTCGACAGAACTTGAAGAAATCGCATTCTTGTTTAAATTTTGCTTTTTGTATTCTGTTGATGAAAGAAAAATGGTAAAGACGACTAAAAATAAAACAAAATAACATTACAATATGCGCCTAAAACTAAAGGTTTCAAGGAAGCCTATGTTAGCCCAAAATAACAGGCTTTTTGATTTTTCATCTTGGTCAATGAAATGCGTTTTTGATTTGTTTTTACTCTACACCATGTCACAGTAATGATGAAAAGGTAAATTATATACCGTGAAAAGATGAAAAAACTTACTGACGCAGCTCACACTAGTTTTTAGTTAGTTATATCTTCTACATCATGTCAGTGGTGAAAAGTTAACTCTTTCTTAAAACTCGCTACCATGAGACAAGACCTTAGTACATACCTCTACAAATCTCTATGCTGATATTTCGCAATTTATTGATGAGCTGTTCCATGTTATTTATGTCCATTATTCTTGATTGATCTCCAGCAATCATATCAAAAACTTGATTATTAGTGACCCCGCTGGTAGCGACACCATATAGCATTACATCTTTGCGGCGTAGATTTTCGATAGAACGAGCAAGGGAGTTTAGCAAATCAGATTGCCCTAGCTTGGTTGAAGGGCCTACAAAAAAGAAAGAATTACTATACTGATGTGATTACTAAACTGATGTAAAACTAATTGTCATTTTTTTAATGAAAAGTACTTGATAGAGATACACTTGATAAAATACTGATCATACCTACCTTCTAGTTTTCCATCTGTGAATACAACCACCACCTTTGGAACATCACTTCTTGCTCCATTAAAAGGTGAAAACACACGATGAGGAATAGCACTAAGTGCGCGGTCAAGTCTTGGCCATTCACCGTAGTATTTCAGTCCTTCAATCAACTTCGAAATCTTTCCTTTGTCAGCATTCTCATCGAACATGTAATAATCATCGACATTAGTACTGTATACCAGGATAGAGACGTGTGCACCATCTGAAGAAATATCTAACCCATCGGTCAACCTCTTAGCAGCTTCTTTCATCTTTACCCATGCGTCTGTCGTTATGGAATATGAAGAGTCGAACAACAAAGCAAGGTCCATCGCATGATGACATTCGTGTTCTGTTGAGCATAGAAAAGGCAACAATGTCAATTATACATAAATACATTATGCTATCAATGATGCTGATGCCTACAATTGAGAGTACTTTGAAGCATTTTAGCGAATTCCTTAGTTACTTAAATTCTTACAGTAACCAACAAAATCACGAATGAAGAAGCGTGTTTGTCTTAGTGCTCCTTTTAGCAAGCTGTACTCAATATAAGGTATCGCGAAGTACCTCATTAATTCACACAGCTATTAATCCATGCATTCATCCATCCATTCTCATATTAGTTCGTCAATCCATCTATCAACCCATCCATCAATCAATTTATTTTCAAATGATTCTTTATTGTCTGTCTGCCTGTTTGTCGGTTTCTTTCGCATAACCAATCAAGTCATCCTATACCTCCCATCATGATTTTATACCTCCGCCATTTTTAATTTTATTCCTTTATTTAGATTGTTTGTTACTACTTTCCCAACCCTTCAATTTTACCTTTGAACCACTTGTTTTTAACTTTCTTCCTTTACTTTTTTTTCGACTTCACTTAATTCTAATGACTTCAGATACCGTTTTCCACCCCAGCCACCTACTGGCTACAATGCGGCGAGAGTTCCGGTTCATCTGTCCACTTACCTCCACCTGCATCCTTGTTGACCTCACCAGCACGGCCACCAGAATACCGTCCTTCATCTTCTGGTGTATCATTAAGTGGCTCATATTCTACGCTGTAATAATACCCTTGGAATAAAAGTAAAACCAAAAATACCACTCATCAAAATGTATGATTAGTTTTGGGGAAAAACTTTAATAAGGAATGGCAATTGGCACAATCTACTTATTGTTTTGTTTGTGAACATTCCAATATATAGTACTTGTTTAAGTCGATTTTATTTCAAATTTCAGTCCAGGGGCAGTCGATCGACGAAAATGTACAGCTTTGAATTCAAGTTCCAAAACTATATATGTTTTATATATTTCTATTTTATATTGCATGTACTTAACGCATCATTCAAATTAAGTCGATTGACAAATAAACAAAAACTATGAAAGAATCGAATTGAATGCGATGGAATTTTCTTGAAATCTAACAAGCAACGTGACTATTTTCTATAATATATTAAGGTCAAGACCTTATTTCACATACCAAGATACAGGAATATTTTAATACTTACCGTCATCTGGTTGAGCATAGTAACATCTCAGATCTTGCAATGTGAAAAACATTATCCAATAGATATACCTTTTCTTCATGAGTGCTCTTTTTTGACGAAAATCATAAACTAGTTCGTTTGTTCATGGAAGGACAAAAGCTAAGGATGAAAAACTATATCGATGAATCATTTGTAAGGATCGCGATGATAACGTAACTATAGTATTAATTTTCCAATTGTTCTGAGAACTTCGCTGTGATACGTTCTATTTAAAGGGATTCCATGTATATAGTTTTTCATGTATGGAATAAAAAGAGTGTATTCAGTTATGATGTAATCGTGCTATCAAATGGGTGATATGGGATAGCAGCAGATACTGATTCAAAATATCGTAACAAAAAAAAAGAAATTATCGGCTAATCCCTTGCACCTCTGCAACGCATGCAGTCGGTTGAAAATATAATGTTAAAAAGTCTAGTGTATCTGATGCATTGTTTCCCTTATCCGATATAGGAGTATCCGCTAACCTGATTTAGGAACACCGGCGCCCTTACTTGAACCAGGGGTATCCCTTACGTGAATTATAGGGAGTTTAGCACGTGACAGCTGTTAATGATGGTACAAATGCTTTACTGGACCGTATATCGATAACACATTTAAGAGCTGTTGTTTGGGAAATCCCGATTATGATGTGGTATTGCAATCTTTAATCTTAAAAGTTTAGCCTGAAACAGCCTCTGGGCTTATCAAAGTCAAGGAACAGCTAGTTCAAAGATTGATTTGATTTAAGTGTGAAAAAACTTCCCTAACAAGGGAAATCTAGAGACCTAACAAGCCCATTCGACCTGATTCTGTGAATCGGGGAATATAGTCTGGAAATCAAACCCGAGACTCCAGAGGTGAAACTCGATCGTTATTCGATCAATTTAGAACAAAATCTTGAAACTGCAATTTGTAACTGCAAATAGTATTTTGTTAAATTTACACTGGAAGCCCTAAGCCTAAATCCATTTTCCCAAGTGTCGTCCCCAAATTCCTTTTTCGTGTATTTAATTGATGCAGGAATTAAGAATTTAAATGACATCCCATTAAAAAACCTTTTCGTTTTTATTCGTATCACAATGCTTTAATTCATTCGTACAATATTTTATCATTTTTAAATCGATTATAAATTTAGCTTTATTATACTTTATTAATCGGGTATTAAACTTTTAATGTCATTTAATAATATTTATTTGATAATAATTTTTATAACATAGGATATTAAAAGCATCTTTAAATTAAAAAAAATTATAGGGTTACTGGCTTCTCTATTAAGCGAACATATTGGCTGTTGTCCTTTAATAAAGGATGTCAGCCAGTCGCTGAAAAGGATTACTTTGTTTTACAGTAAATATGGAAAGAAAATTTCAGGGCTGTAAACTTTGCTGTCCGTTTAACAAATGGCGTCTGCTTAATACAGGCTCTTTATTAAGATTTAGATATTCTTTAACAGTTCTTTCATTCTTTCATCCCTATCCATTTCTTTACGACGTTTGGAATGAGTTTCGTGTACCACGATCGTCTAACTCGTTGAGACCGGTGTTTTACGGAATCCCTTGAAACAATGAATTAAAATTCAACACATGCATGTTCTAAAATCGATGATCAAATACTTACAAGGGCACAAGATGTCGAAGACTTCAAAAGTCAAAGTTTGGACATTTCCTGGTTCTACAACTGCCGATATGAAATATCACGTCAAGCCACTTATAAATAAAAAACCAGATGAAATACTCTTACATGTTGGCACCAACAGTTTACGCTCAT